CAGACGATCGTGTTTACGATTGAGTTTACTCTATAGACATCTAGATCTACAGCCTAGATTTAGCTAGATCTAGAAGTAGAAGAAGATGATTCAGTCCAAACAGGACTATTGGGGAGGTCAGGTCGGGACAGGTCGGTTTGCTCGACAGACTGATGGCGCAAAGTGGCTATCGTGGCACAAATCGATGGCACCCGACTCGTCAGTCGTTGCCTCAAAAATAAACGCAGTGTTGTTTTCAGGCAACGAGTCGGGCGATCATCCCGACACAATCTCATCCCCGTAGTGCAAAAGAAGTCTAATATCTGGTACGAATTGCCCCCCTTCTCGTCGTTATTTTTAGTTGAGGAAGAAAATTTCGGTTATTTTTACCGAAATTGAATTATTATTTTTTCAACTTTTGCTGAAAATTGCTTAAAATTCGCGAATTCACGAAAATGGCAAAAGTTGCGTGCGGGGACAGGTATAGAGGATACTGCATTCTCTACTGAAAAATAAAACTGGTACTATCACCACCTCTTACCATGCTTGGTGGGGGTGAGAAAGTTGGGTTCTGTTCCACCTGTTCCCTGAAAGCCTTGAGGAACATATCACTAAGAGATTGGTGGATCACAATGTTGCGAGCATTTCGAATAGGGGCCTGCAGCTTCTCTTTCAAGTCACCCAACTCCATGGAGTTTAACCTGAAACAGAGATAAATATTTGAGTTCCATTTGATCGACAAAAGTGGCTATTTATGTTTTATTTTAACTAGTATAGTATACCTCCACATAAAGCATGGGGGCTCTCGTGGCCTAGAGGTTAAGGTGTTAGCCTCTCATTCAAAGGTCCTGGGTTGGAATCCGGGTAGCCACCGAAAAATTTTCTTCTCTAAAATTGTTTCCTTTCACCTTCTTTCCTGCTCTCTAACAATGTTCTGTTGTCTGCTTTCGTCTCCTCTGTCTGCCCCCACCCCCTCACCTCCTTTGCCCCCTCCTCTGGGCTCCTGACTCTTTCAGTAGCCTTTCTACTGCTACTCTACTCCTTGGCTCCTTCTTACTGCTGTCTTTCAGCCACACCCCTGATCTTCTGGTAGGAAAGAAAAGGGCGAAAAATCTCGGGAGGGCCCGTGTGCAAATTGCACACATTAAAGTTCCCTTGTTAATCTAAAATTGCTAAGAGCAGGCTTTGGCCGCCACCCGGACAAAAATCAAAATTTCCTACCAACTGAAAAGTGTTTAATGTGTCCCATGCACTTATATGACCTTATACTTATACAGTTGCGAGCGCAGTAAAACACTTACAAAAAAACAAACAAAGAGCATCTCAAAACAGTAAGGGACAATTTGAGGCCCATTCTTCTGATAAAAGTGAATCGATACAAATCTGTTAATAACAGTGATACAATAAGGTTTGACTTTACTGTGTAATTTTGTAAAACATGCTCTTCAGCAAATCAATACACACATTTGTTGAAATTGTGCTTTCACAAAACTCACCTAATAGTAAAAGGTTGAAGTCCAGTTTCAACACGTCCAACCGTTATATTTAGATATTGCACAGCAGTTTGTGTCTGGTATGAAAGTGAGTGCTCCTCAGCATCTGACAAAGTCAAGTGAATATCACTTTGATGAGCGACATACACATAATAGGTCGAGGTCTTTATAATCCATGAGTCTGTCACCGCTACTAAACGGCTAGATATTCCACTTGTAAATTTATCTATCCTTCTGAATTCCACGTTAATTGATGAAGCAACAGCTCTCCAAGAGTCATGTTCACTGCCCAGCTGCGCCAATTGCTTCGCTAGAGGATGATTGTTGCAATTCCCATGGTGCCAATAGATTGCAACAGCACATATACAGCCAGGGAGAATCAGGCTGCCGAGTAAGAAAACACTCCAAAACATGCCCACATCATCCAGAGAAAACAAGTTGAGTTGTGGAGAAAGCAATCCAAGTCCAACATAGTAACCTGAGGAAAAGGAAAAAGACAGATTATTCCAATGTAACAGACAACAGCGTTAATTCCCAGATTTTCTATTTACCATGCAGAGATTATGAAGAATAATCCATTTGCTTGAGCTAAAAAGAAGAACATCAACAGGATTTAAGATGGCTATTTAGATATATTATATTGGGATAAGTAAGACAACTCACCTAAAGAAGTTGGAGTACAAGTGTTACCCATCAACCATCCACAGAATTATTATTCATTATAATTTTATCTCGGTATCTGTCCCACAAGACAAGACATATCAGTGAGAAACATCCCCACCTTAGTCCTTGATGAATTTCAAGGATTAGCTCCGCAACCTGCAGTTCAATCAATTGTTTAAAGTTGGTCTATTTTTTCTCAAGCATCTGCTTTATACATGAACAATTCGATGGCAAAATGTGACCAATGCCATTTTCAAAGTTTGGTCCAATCTAGTAGCGTCATTATGTATCTATGAAGGTCAGGCACATTCCAGAGTCAATTTCTTTTTTCATAAAAAGCGATTGTTCCTCTTAAAAGATTGGCAGAAAGTGATGCTTTTTTACAAAACACAACAAAAGTAGTAGACCTTTTTTTGATAAACCATTAAATCTATTGAGCTTGTTGTTGCTATACAATGCTATTTATTATTATCATGTCTCCCTGCTTCCCAGTCAAGTTTTTTTCTCCCGTCATGCGACTTCATTTGTGGTCGACGAAAGTTTACCAGCGGTTCTTTCCCTTCCTTATCATTGTAATGTGGTAATGTGGATATGTTGCATTTTGCCAAAAAGAATCCAGTATAGAAGATTTCAATATAACAAATATCAACTGAGCCTTACATCATGATAACTCTAAAAACAAATTTGCTCTTCATTTTATTCAGTAAATGGGTGAAGAACAGAAATCTTAATTTTTCTCAAAACCAGAAAAATGGATAAGTTGCCTTTTTAATAATAATAATAATAATAATAATAATAGATAGCATTTGTATAGCGCATATCCCCGCTCAACAGCAGGCTCTATGCACTTTACACTATATTATTACCCCAGCAGACCAAAGAACACTCCGAAACATTCTCAGCTTCCCGGGAAGCATACAGTGCAAGCAGCCGATTAAGCGCTCAAACACTAACAAACTGACAAGATCTTTCGCTGTCTATAGCCGGGTACCCATTCCCACCTGGGTGAAGTGAGGAAAATTCACGTAAAGTGCCTTTCCCAAGGACACAACATCGGGCCCCTGACGGGATTCGAACCCACGACCTTACGGTTGCAAGTCCGAGAGCCTAACCACTAGGCCACCGACGCCTTTTTCACCCATCCTATTGAATTGCACATGTTTTTCTTGATTTTAAAGTACCAACATGTCATTGTTTTCTTGCATGCTTTTCCATGTTCTATCCTGATTACCCAATTTGTTTTAGTGAGGAAGAAGGCAGACTAATTTGCTCATTATGTTTGTCTGGTAACATTCCTCTCATTCGTACTTTTATCACTGATCCTCATTGCACATGTTTCTTTTTAATTTTGATACTAGCGTTAATTGTTCCTTCTTTTCTTGATTTTTCATAAATGATCTTGACTGCAAAGTTTGCTTGAACTTAAAAGAGGAGGAAGACAGAAAAGCTTGCTCCTCACATTTGTCCGGTAACATTCCTTCCCATCTTTAGAATAGATTAGGGTTTTTTTTGTGTGTAATTTTTCTAAACAAGGTAACCTCCTTTCTGAGATGAGCATCCTTCGACAACGTCTTGTATAAGCTAAGAACTCTTTTGACTTTGATACTAAAGCACTGGATAGATAATGCAGACAATCAATTGTTAATGGTGTTTGTTCCGTAGCATTCTACACAATTTGATTATATTTTTGACAAAACTGTTACAGAATTTTAGAAATCCTGAGAGTGATTTTGTGTCTTTGCTTTTATAAAAAGAGTTAACAATATCAAATCTCTTTGGTTTTATCTTACTCCACTAGACTTGATGTATCTGTTTATCCATGTTACATGTCTCAGGACACTGACTGTCACTCTTTGATCATTCTCAAAGCATTTCACTGGGTTGTCAATGAGATCCTGAATTTTCAGGAACAAACAATGACATTTGGTCTATAAAAATAATATATTCTGAACTAAAAAACAATGAAGATGAAATTTCATTTGAATGTGACACAAGGTAAACAATAGTGGTGGAATGACCCATATCCTACCTCTAAAAAGTCCGAAATTCAGTCAAGGATAGGAATTGCTGTTGCAAATGCACTTCCCACTAGCATGTGAAGTCCCTCTACTTCCAGAAACCAGTTGTTCCCAAGCCAATGTGAAGTATGCCTGACAACCATCATCTATGGTATAGTGGTTAGGCACTTCACTAGTGTCATGTGCAAATGACATTTTAATTCTCCTAGGGAGGGTGGGGGGAGTGGGGGAGTCTTTTAACCAAGCATCTTTACATCTGTCTGCTAAGATGTTTTACTCTTCTCAGCATGGGTTGGCCCTGACGGTAAGGTCGAAACAGCCTGCCTCATAGATAATCTAAATTGTGTCCTTGACAGCATAAAATTAAAACAGCTACAATTACAATTCCATGTCTGATAGAATTGCATAAATGAAAAACGCATTTCAGTGGCACCTTTCTTGAGGGGGTAAAAAATGACAATGCTTTTCAAAGAAGACGCAGTCTTATTGCTTTAGTTTATAAGAGTATGAAACTTCAGCTCTTAAGTTTTGGGCAGCCACCTCAAAGCAGGCCTGCTTTTGACTCTAAAAAGAGATTAAAAGGTTTTCAACATGCACTTAATGACTCCCACATTTTTCACTCTCATCTGAAATGACAAATGGGTAAACCCTGCTCACAACTTTTACTGTGAGCTGCCATCATGGCGAACCATTAGTCAATTAGGTAAGTCCACTGAACACTCAAATGAAATTGGAAGAGAATAATAATGAATAATATTGCCTTGCAGGACCACATGATCATCCCCATTGACCCTTCATATATAAAATCCTTTTGTCAATAATCTGATGATAACAGCGAATGCAAGTGTATCTTTGTCTTTACCAAATTTATGATGCTATCAAACACAATTAGTGTAAGTCATTGAAGGACAATGGCTAAAATTTTGATAAAAGTGCAAAACGTTTTCGAATAGTTCTCATTGTTTATATTCTCAATTATCAGCAACTTATATATATATATATATTTAAAAAAAAAACTTTTTGAAGATTGATAGTTTTAAATTTTTATCATTTCATTACTTTTGTATCACTTAGAGGAGTATGAAATTTGAGAAACACAATTCATAGTGTTGCGTAAGAAAAAAAATGAATGTCAAAAAGAATAGAAAAGCAAATGAAAAAGGTAAAATAAGGAAATAGTCAGAAGTAGCAGACCAATGGTAATAAACTATTGTTCCTTAACACTCTATGGGACTGGCCTCACCACTTTCTGACCATGAGAGGTGATGCGTTACTATGTTACTATAAAACTCTACTACATTAGTCTCTCACCTAAGATCCCACCGCTTACAATCCCAGTTCACTTAAAATCTTGCCATTTCAAGAAAACAGAATATTTGCTACACAAAAGTCACCCCTAAGATCCCACTCTGAAGGATGACATTCAGCAAAGATCCCACATTTGAGATCATAATTTACAGAAGTACAAAAACCTGTGCTTCCTGTTGCATCATAGATCATCCACTCTCGTGAAAGTGATCACATCCACCTCTGTTGTAAATCTTGATGAAACGGTATTATAATCAATAATTTGACGGGAAGTGGTTACTGGAAGCGGTTATTCTTACCCGGGGTGAGAATAACCTATGTCTCGAATAGATTCTCACCCCCTCGTTTTACCGAAAATGACCCTGGGATATGGCTGAGGCTACCGGGGCTGATGCTCTACAGGATCGTGTTTGTGTCCGAATAGTCACATTCTGGGTTGTCAGTTTGGGGCCAAATTCTAGAAATTTGGCACTTTCGGATCATGTCTGGCCCGGAGAATTTCATTTGGCTCTCTGGCTGATGGCTCTCTTTTGGCTCCAAACTCCAAATGTTCAAGAAGAAGGGGAAACAAGAGGCAAGAAAAAAATAAAAAGAAAGAATAAAGGAAAAAAAATGAAAGTGAAGAAAAGAGCTTGAATTGCTTAATTATTAAACTAGATCTAGTTAACACGATTTAGCGCAATCGCCTATTTGGCCTGAATGAGTTACAACCCTTCTACTGCCGTGTAGCGTTACATTGATGGTACAGGGTCTCTGTTCCTTGAACCATAATTATTTATTGTGTGTGCCATCAATAAGTTTGTGAGCTAAACAACGAATGGTCCGGTCGGTGGCAGTTCCCACATCCCGCGCGCAGTAGCGTCGGTAGTGAGACATATTGTTTACTGGAAAGGCGAAAAATGTTTTTACTTTCATTCTATTTGTTGTTCATTAAAGAGTTAATTGGCGCTTTTTCGGTAGTTCCCACCCCGCAATTGTTCACGGGTTTTGGCCCCAAGAGTAGGGGGGGTTTCAGGGGGCTTGCCCCCCTGACCTAACAAAAATAGGAAGGGGGGTTTCAGGGGGGCATGCCCCCCTGAATTTTACCACAATTTAATGTTTTGCTGTTGTTAGGTTTGATATCTTAGCTCACCGCGAATCAAACGTATAGATCTAGATCTCAGGCTCAAATAAGGGGGGTGGGAACTACCGAAAAAGCACCGAGTTAATTTAGCACAGATTTGGTATAGACGATCATAGACCTAGATCTAGATTTTCTAGATCTAGATCTAGATCTACATCTAGATTTCTTATGTTTCAAAAGTCTGCATCGTAATTTTCCATAGGCCACCTTTGTTCTCATCCCAGATGAGAATAACCCATGTCTCTCGGAACGCTTGAAGCAGGCTGAACTATTACATTAAAAAAATGTAGATCTAGAATCTAGATTTAGAATCTACACCACTGTCGATGTCCGAAGGTGGGTGAGAAAAAAAAACATAGCGGATCATCATGATGAGCTATTCTCAAAGCCAAAGCGGGTCCTGAGTTATTCTCACCAGCTGTCAACAAATGCACTTACCTAAAGGAATAAAGCTATGTATAATCAGTGTAGCAGTTATTCTCTTCATGTGATAATAGATAAAGCTGAAGTCTTCACTGCCAAGCCACTGTGAAAAGATATTCTGCACTGTCACTCCTGCAGAGACAAACTCGGTTGGAGGAGCAATGAAGCAACCAGCAAAAAACATGAAGACCATGGTGTACAGTACAACCAGCGAGTTCTCAGTGTTTCCAGCCATATTATTTATTTCGCAAGCAACACAGCTGGGTTCTGAAACAAGTCGAAAGTACAGTAATGTACACTAATCAATGACGCCAACATGTCATTGACCATTGATTGATCTGATGACTGATGAGTTGTTTCTTCAGTTGTTCGACGTACTTCACTTTCGATTTGGCAACTTCCGGTTCCTTCCGTTTCTCCTCGGATTTCATAGGCCTAATAATAATTATTAATAGTGGTGTTTAGTTTCGGAGGTCAAGGTCATACCGTAATTCTTAGCAAAGATCAAAGGCAGAGCAATGATTGTTCTCCGCCTCAGTCAATAACCTTTAGATCTACTTAGTTGCCTTTAGCAGTGCGGGGACAGAATTTAACTATTTTTAGAGTGTAATTAGTAAGTGAACAAATCGTTCATGAATAAAGTGTTTCTCTTTCATAGAGTAAGTTCTTTGTCGCATCACGTGTCCTTGGTTATACATGTGCACATTAAGAAAGTTCGTTCACTTTTATGTTAGGCTATTTATTCGCTGACTGTAGATATACTCTTGGGTATGTCTTGTACTATCTTTGATTGCCTTTAGTAGATGATCAAGAATCGAGTTTCTATACTTGGTAGGCCTGTATACATACAGTAGGCCGCCTGTAGCTACTGGACTATACCGTTATCGTGACTTTTATCATTAGATCTATATCAGGACCATCAAAATTCTGACTATAATATCTTATTTGCAGTTTTAACCTCTTCTAACAATAATCGCTTAATGATTTACTATAGGCCTATAATCCTTTTGTTTGGATCGACTTTGACTTTAAGCGAGCTTAATATTATGCAAGCTTATAATTATTTTTCCCTCTCCAATTATTCCGATTCATTAATTATAATATGTCTAGTGATTTAACTTCACGTACCGTACACTGTCTGCGAGTTTAATCTTTTAAGAGGTATTGAATAATAGGACTATAAAGCGGGTTATAATTGCAAGGAGAGTGGTGGTGTGTCATCTGGGAAGAGGAATTAATAGCTCAGCTGGACTTTTTGCTATTTTTTTTTTCAAAATGGAAAAAAGTTGTAGTACGGACAATTTTTGCAAATACACACACACACACACACACACACACACACACACACACACACACACTCACACACACACACACACACACT